TACATATCGGATGGAGCCAGTCTCCATGATGAAAGCTTGACTTTGCGCTTTGTGCTTTGGTGTCAGTTGTAATATGTAAAGCAGATGTGTGTTTAATAGCTGAGCCCATCGGTGGTTGTGCAGCGCTGCCGAGCTCAACGGCTTTAAAGGTTGGATTTTCACTGGGGCCACACGCACTTAAGAAGTATTCCTGTAAGAAGACTCAGGATTTAACATCAGCAACATCCCTGAGCTGTGTCTGAATCTGGTAACCTCACTGAAATCACACTGATCTGAAGAAACTGAAGACGCACAGGAAATATATATATAAGTAGTAGAGCCAGCCCGATATAAGCCTTTCACAGACACGTTGGTATCAGGTTTATATTTCAGGCGTTAAAAATTCTGTTTATTTTTTTTTTCATTCTGGGTTCTCTATATTTGTTTGTACTTGTGTATTTTTTATTGATAGTTATTTATCATAATGTTTATGGTTAAACTTAATATAAAGAAAACAAAATTCTCCCAATATCAGTACCAGCGTGTATATATTTATATATATGTACAAACAATACAGAAAAGATATGAATTTATGTAAATATTTTGCATAAAAACTTTTTTTATTTGTGGTTAAACTGTAAAGTCTATTTAAATAACGGTGTCATAAGGGTTTGATAGCGTTTATTATATTTTGCTCCCTAATATCGGTGTCAGGCTGTAATTAGTAGTTGTGGTCCTACTTCTTCAGAAGCAGTGGTGTGAGAGCAGGAGATGTTGCCACAGCCCCTCGTGCTGAGGCTTGTTCTGTGTTTGCGGGGGAACAGTAATCAGCAGCAGCAGAGGGTTGGCTGTGACTCCAGCAGCTAAAAGCTTCTCTATCTGATCACATCCCAGCCTTGTTTCAACAACTAGCCCGGATTATCGTCGTCATATCAGCCGCTGCCCAACTGATTACAAACATAAGCACATTCACACAATGATTACATGCAGCTTATTCTGTTGGACTTTTTGAAGCATCCAGCGAGCTCAAGTCTTTTTTCCGAACCTGCAGCGGCTGAAGGTCCTGGAGCGATAAGGCTGCTTCAAAGTTAAAGATGTGTCGCTGATTGTGTTTCTGCCAATCCCTTTGAGGTGCTGTCATGGTGTGTGTGTGTGTAGTGTGGGGGTTAACCACTTGAAAGGGATATTCTCCAGGGTGCGGCTGCAACTACGAATTTGTTTTGTCGTCGTTTAAAGTCTTGATATCTTTCTGATTCTTTGAAATTAAGAAAAATTGAGAAACATTTCTCGCAGCCCAAACTGACAAATTAACTGTTGCATAAAACTAATGCTGTTTCTCAATGTAGAAGTTAGTTTTTAAAATTGTAAAGATTCTGACATGATAAGAAAAAGAATCATCTGTCTGGCTGTTTCACCCACATAGAGGGAGAGAAAGAGAGATATCGAAGGTTGCTGGTGCTAAAATCAGAAGTTGGGCTCACGACTAAAACTAGAAGGGTGTTCGGAGAGTGTGCAGCTCCTAACTATCTCACCATGTTAAAGAAAATGAGAGAAACAATCGTGGATCTGCCTGTTTTTCCAGATCTGCTCCAAAATGTAATGGGTTCTTCCTTGAATCATGCCTCACCCTTCCACCTCACCTCACCCTTCCACCTCACCTCACCCTTTGCAGACAAACAGGCAGATGAGCACATAAAACTGGCCCACGTCCTAATAGGAGGTAGACGTACGTGTCTTCCTGTCAGTGATCCAGAGAAGAACAGAACAATGATCCTAAACATACGAGCAAGGCCACTAAAGAGCTTTTTAAGGTGACGAGGTGGATAATCCTCGAGCCGCTGAGTCATTCTCCTGATCTCAGTCCAACTGAGAAAGTTTCACCAGCATCTGAAGAGAGAGACACAGTGAGCGAGAGCTGGAGGGGGCTGGAGTGTAGCCCCGGGAGAGAATCACCAGGGAAGATACAAAGATGTCTGAAGGTCCAAAGTTTAAGAGATGGGGTTTTTGGTTCGACTTCATGTTTTTCTGTCCAATGACTCTTGTGGCCTCCACCCACTTCTTCTCATGCTGACATCAGCAATAGACGTAAAGATGGACGACATGACATCTTCCCCAAAAGCGAAGCCAAACTCTCATGATGCCTGCAGGCGACTGGCTGCAGTATAGGTCATGGACTGCACCTGCTCCATGTTAGCAGACAGGACATGGATCAAATAAAATCAAATAAAGTCAAAGAACACATCACATGAACATTTTTGGTACTTTTTGACATCAAACTAATGTTTCTGATCATTTTCCAGTAACTTTGGTGTGAATTAGTTATTTGATTCTATCAAAACGGTGAGAAACGTCTTGATTGACAGCTGAAAGACGAACTCGTGATTGGTCGAGCATGTTTATAGGTGGGACGTCGCTACTACATCCCCCATTCACCACTGTGCAGGCACCTGCAAGCAGGATTTTATTTTAAGCTTCATTTTTGTATGAAAGGAGGAAGTTAACTTGAATTCATTGGAACTTAAATGTGGTATAAATATATAAGAGTGTTTTATTTCAATGCACCAACCTTGAAGAACAAATATGTGTAACTGTAAATAATCATATTTAACATATAATAGCACCAAATCTTTCACAGTCAGTAAAAATAGTTTTCTTTGAATGGTTCACATTCAGGTGCTGGTTGTCGACTTGGAACAAAAGCAGTTGGTAAATTCAGTTAATCTCCGTGATTGGAGTGAGCAGTGATTTATTTTGATCTCAGCTTTGCAGAATCAGCTGACGTGTTGCAGCAACACCAGTTAAACGCTCGAGAAACATCCCAAGTATTCAGCCCTGCTCGAAAGAGTGTAGTAAACGTCGTTGGCCTCAGTTTGCTGAAGCTATTCACGTTACATAAGGTCTCCCACAAACCCCCTCACAGCGCCTCCCTTCTCTGCCTCCTCTCTCTCTTTCATTTTGCACAAAAGATTTGTCAAAACACACACACACGCCATCAGTGCGGCATGGCAGTCGTCCAGAGAGGGGCTCCAGTGTCGCTTCATTTCAAAGAGCTCTTTGCTGCGCTCTCCTTTTGATGCTCGCTCCCCAGCAGCAGTGGAGCAGAAATGCAGAACGTCCAGCTTTGATATGAATTTGTCCCTGATTCTCCACTCTGCCCTGAAAAAAATCCACCGGACGACTACAGGGCTGTGATAACACTCAGTTTTAGTTTGTTATCTGTTTTCTGGTTGACTCAGGTTCTTGTGCTGCAGAACAGGTTGGATGGTTTTTTTAACCCTAACCCACAAATGACTTTAGGCTAAAAAATAATATGACACCAGGAAACATTCAGGAGGTGAAGACGAGAGAGAGACTCGGATGTAGTTTTTAGTTTTTAGCTGAAGATCCCAACGTCCTCTTTTACCTTCAGCCCTTCAGATTGTTTTAATCACATTTTCAATTGATTTATTTTGTGTCTGGGATCTGAAGAGGTGAAACTTTCCCTCCAATCAACAAGCACAAACATAGCTTGTATCTTTTAGTGCAACATTTCTGAAAAAACGAATTGACAAAATTGTTAAACGTCGTCTGGTTCCAGTTAGGACAACCTGTTATGACAACCTGCTGCTTTTCTCTCATTATTTTATTATAACTTTGACCTTTTGGTCTGTAACAAGACATTTGTCATCAAGACATTTAAAGACATCACGTTTTACAGACAAACTATTATTTGAGAAAACAATCTGAATTTTAATTGTTAATGGACAATTGTTAATAATTGTCGACTGCAGCTCAACTTCACTGGTTCTTTGTTTGAGTGTTTTTTTTTGTGTCTCCTTGAAAGATCTGAACCACTTCTTTTTATTCGATAGCTTTACTATGGGGACTGTAATCACAGGGGGGGTCTGGTGTGTATAAATGTACATCCTCGGCTCCAGGCAGTATTGTACAGTGTGAATTTCATTTCTTTCGGTCGTAGTCGTTTCACTGGAATTTCAGTTTCTTATGTGTGGTGAAGCAGCTCGTTTAAATAACCCAGCATGTATGTGTCAAAACTCCCTGTGAGTGTGTGTGTGAGTGTGTGTGAGTGTGTGTG